ACAATTGGCAAATATTCCCCAGAGGTCCTCAATGGGGGATTCAAATGTGTTTACAAATTAGCTCTCAAACAGCAATGAGGAGGTGATACTTAGCAACTGCTGCTGTCACCTCGCTAGTGGTTGAGCCAAAGTCTGCACCATTTAATAATATTGTGAGTCATGAAATAAAGGTGATGTCTAGAGATATGTACAAATAGAATCCAAAATTGGGAGGGAGGGATAGCTGCCACTCAGAAGGTAAGAGCTGATCTTAAAAGAGTATCTTGAAGCTCAGGAATAACATTAAATACATCAGGAATAAGCACCAAGGAGAAAAATCCATAAGACATGATAGAGGACTATCACCAAGGAGGGAAAAAAAAAAAAAAAGTGGCAGTCAAATAATTCTCAAAATGAACATAGGCAACATACCGTTTTTAAAAGTGCTATTATATTTTTAAGTAGTAAGAGGAGCTGGGCATGTAAGAATTTCCCTGTAATCCCCACCCTGAGCTTGGCCTTCACAAGGCACCAATGTGAATGAGGCACCAATATTCTATTTGGGCAACTAAACTGAGTGTGAAGCCAAGAAATGGAATAGCAGTGAAAATTATTAAGCCCCTGGAAAACAAGAGCTATAAAGAATGGTTTAGGTGGGTGGAATTATTTATCACTGAAATAAAAACACCAGGGTGATGACTTCACTGTGGTTTCCAAATACATGGAAGGCGACCAGCTGTTCTTTCTCCACTCCACGGCAAACAAAAGAAAGCCGGTTTGAATTTCTATAAGACATACAAAGAACTATCTGATCAGCAGGGTAGGTTACAGAATCTCCTTCTCTGAAAATCCAGAATCCCATCTACAGCCATATGTCTGGAATAATTCAGGCCCAGCCCTGTCTGACACTAGGGGAGAGCATGCCAGATAATCTAAACTTTCTCCTAGCCCACAAACTCTGAAATCGGAATCAAAGCTATTGGCTTACAGTCAGACTTCCTTTTGTTTATTTTCACCCTCAGCCTGGAAAGGAGGTGATATGGCAAGGATGACCCAACACCCCATTTGGACTCCTGCTATCTCAACATCAGGAAAAGCTTTTCTCTGTATACTGTTTCACACCTCCAAAACACAGTCAATTCACAGATCACTTAAAACAAACGGTAATGTAAATATCTGGTTCTAGTGGACACTAGGAGATTCCTTGTCTTATTCCCTACAAATGCCTGCTTTCCTAATTATGTCTTGGCCTAAGCTTAGAATTGCATACCATTTTAAAAAATGATTATGCCAAGGGCTAAAACTATAAATAAGGCCCTTTATGTTGTGGAGTTTAAATGAAATTGTTCCAAGCATCATATTTTTTAAACTGACAGAAATTTGATTTTGAAATTAACAACTAGCTTGACTTTCTCTTAAGTCACCATGAAATATAAAGAAGCAATCAAAACATTTCAAATCACATCAAATTTCTCTGGGGGATAGAGAGGGGAAAGAAACGATCCAGCTACTGGGTGCATTTAGCAATAGCATTTTTTTAGTGGCACCTGACATCTGTAATTACCATGCATGCCTTTCATTTCAAACCTTACAAATCTAACAAACTGATAGTCAATGGACCCAGTCAAGTCCATCCATGTGTCCTGTTGGCCTGAATTCACTTAAAAGTTTTTTTAACTTAGTTGCCAATATTTTAAAAATCAGCATTGTTCATATAAAAATCCAGATTCTCAGCTTCTCTTCAAAAATGGGACAGGAAATAGTGCATGGCCACAATAGCTTGCCTCTGTTCATGGAACAGGAGCTCTTCAGTTTGCCACAGTCCCCATCATTCCCTATGGCTGACACTGAGAAGGCATGTCATTGCCATTTATCATCACGGCTGTTTTCCTTACACTTGCTGCTATACTGGTTCCTCCTGAAGACACAGGATCTGCTAAGTAACCGTCATATTGGCATGCCCACCTCTCTCCAATAAAGACAAAGAGTATTCTGTGGAACCAGGGCACAAAGAAAAAAAAAAAAAAAGTAAATAAAGACAAAGAGTAATTTCTCTTTCCTTAGGGAAGTCGAATTAGTGTTAAGGTTGGTGGGGACTGCAGAATATTCTTTCTTCTGGGAGGAGGGCGTATCAATTCTACTTCAGGAATAAAGTATGTTTGCCCTACTTTGCTTCTTTTAAAGGAAAAGATGCTTATCTCTGAAAAAAGGCTCTGACAATCATGCAACCCCACATTTTTAGATGGACAATGTTCCTATTTATTTGCACTTAAATCAGGAGACCTGAGACTACAGGTTGGTATTAACAAAGAGATACTTGTGGCTACAAAGTTGTAAGACTAAATTTTGACAGAGAAACATACACAAACTCATATATCCATAACTTACTACACATTGATTCCAATGATGTCATCATTGCTAAACACATTTTATTGAGCTTCTGGTCTGGGACTATCTTCACTTATTGCTAATGTGTCAACCAAAAACTCTGTCTCCTGATTTTATGGCCTGATCTCATTTTTGGCTCAAAATACTATTACCTGGTTGGGTCACCACCTGAATACCTGGGCCTGGACTGAAATGACTTTTGATTTTTTTCTGGAGATCAGTGTGCCTCAAAGGCCCAACATCCAGCCTTCTAGGGGAACTTCTACACCTTATGTGGCTGGGATGGGCCTGTCAAGGTGATCCCTGTTGCTTGTAGCCAATCTCTTGAGAGAAGAGCACACCTGTACCTGGGCTTTGATAGCCCTGGTCACTCTCCTGGCAAAGCTGACTACACCAGATGCTAAGTCCTTTCTACAGGACATGGGTAGATTAAGATGAACCACTAGGTCCCTACTTTTGACTACTTCTTGGTTTTCCTGGAACCCTGGACTTGCCCTAGTCTCCCTTCCAGAGGACAGTGTCTAATTCACACACAAGCCTTTACTCTCAGGATCAAGGCCTTTCATTGAGATGATCCCTATATCCTATTTCTTGCTTCTGCAACATATAAAAGCCTCTGACTTTCTCTGAATTCCACCTTATCATTTCCACGGTCTGGGACAATCTGTGAGTCAAAATAAATGCAACTATGTTTAAAACATATGTTTTGTCTTAATCTGCAGCTACTCCCATTCCTAGCATAATGGGGAGAGTGAAAAAAAATGAAACTAATGAAGCAAAACCAGGAAGTTAGACTTCTCATCTTTTTCTGTGTTAGGGAATCACACTGTCATTCCATTACTTGGCATACTAGAGTTTGATTTTACTGATCAGAAGAAACATTAGTATTTCAAAATAAGTACCTAAACCCGAAATCAAAACTAAAATATGACTTGATTTTTGGACTCTTCTTCCCTTCCATTTTTATAACAAGGGCATGCATGTAGCAAGCTCTCTGCTCCACAGCCTTAGGGCCCAGTGAGTGCTTCCCCCCCAGTCTTCCGCGCTGCTCCTGGGCCACTTTCTCGGAGACGCTCATTTCATGAGCAAAGCTGAATATCTATCCCAAAAGCGGCTCTTAATAATTCCCATGGAGCAAAACATTTTTTGGCCTCAGTAAGAAATCTCTCTGATAATGTTCCAAGTGAATTTTCCTAAGTTATTAAGTTTGGACTGACCCATCTCCTTCACAAAACATATGCCTACAATGAAATGGCAGGGCAGTCATGTGTGGGCAGTAGCTCTGAGCTCATCCCAGATTCCACGCCGACAACACAGAACATCTCTCCTCTGAGATGCCTGGTTTTATGAGAAGACAGTCTTGCAGATCCCTGTCTCTCTCAGAGCAGCTGCAGGAAACTTGATGCCAGAGAACAGACCAGCAAGTTCTTCTCCCTAGAAGCTGCCAGCTGCCTTTACAGAACAGGGAGTATGACATTTGCATCAAAAATACACACAGACTTCTTTCCAGCAGGGGTTCCAGCCCTCCCTTCACCACCTGCCGAGCATGTGCCTGGAAGGGAAAGTCCTGCCCTATCCCAACCCCCAACCCCCTCAGGCTGTTTCTCCACAACCCCTTTAATGTAGGACCTATCTGATGAAGAGGGGGGAAACCATGGTCCCCAGGCTGGACACTAGGAAAACAGGGTGCCAAAATCTAACCTCACTCATGAAAAAGGAGGAGAAAGGTGCTCACACCCACTCCAGGGCATGGGGAGAAGGGTTTCCACAGGGGAGACCAAGACATCACTCATTACACACACGCTAATCAACACACAGGATATGAACAGTTGTTTTCTCCTTGGAAATATGAATTCTGTAGAGAAGTCATTCATAAAAACAGAACATTTACTTTTATAATAGTTCCCTCTTTTCTACCCTTAAAGAGGTCTGTCATTAGTCAAAACCAGTTCAGCAGATTAACTGGCCACCACCTCCACACACTGCTATATTTCAGTGAATTCTAACCCCTAATATTCAGGACACAGCTTTAGACCAGAAGGGTAACCAAAGCACAAACTGCAACTTCCAATAATACAGCCCAGCTGGATAGTTTCTTAAAAATAAACTTCATGAAACCAACATCTGAGATGCAGCACAGTAAATGTAACCCAGGGAAATGGCAGGCAGATCTGGCCCCCACATGATGCAAGAAAACGCCTCCTCAGACCAAGAGGACGCTCTAAGTGCTAAGCTTCCAGGGCCTTCTTCTTGACCAACCCATTGTAGATGGAATGGTCAACATGGTCAGCCTGGGCCTGCCCACTTTAGCAGCTATGCCACCCAATAATACACGGAGATTCCTTTTATAAAAGGTGACTGTATATTCAGTCACTTTCTTTTTTTGGGGGGGGGGACAGAGTCTCACTCTGTTGCCTGGGCTAGAGTACCATGGCGTCAGCCTAGCTCACAGCAACCTCAAACTCCTGGGCTCAAGCAGTCCTCCTACCTCAGCCTCCCAAGTAGCTGGGACGACAGGCACGTGCCACCATATCCAGTTAATTTTTTCTATATATTTTTTGTTGCCCAATTAATTTCTTTCTATTTTTAGTAGAGATGGGGTCTCGCTCTTGCTCAGGCTGCTTTCAAACTCCTGACCTTGAGTGATCCTCCTACCTCAGCCTCCCAGAGTGCTAGGATTACAGGCGTGAGCCACCATGCCCAGCCTCAGTCACTTTCTTGATCTTTGACTCAAAGTTTAACAACCATAGCATCATAAGTTCTGCATCAAAAATGGACAGGAACATCATCTACAATATGAGTTCCAGATACACTGGTACTTGATTTCTGTGGCTGTTATGACATTAAAGGCACTTTTTCCACAAAGCATTTCAAATCAAAGTAGCCAACAGCAAACAGGTAAAGTTTGTGGAGCTCAATGATGTCTGAAGATCAGTGCAGGTATTTCCCTGTTCCTCTATACATGTTTCCTCCCTATTTCCCAGAACTAGCTCTGATCCAAGGACTGACCTAACATGGCAAATTGTTTTCAGACCTTATGGACATGCCTTTCAAAGTTCCATACGGTTTTAGAAAATTGGAGACTTTGCCTGGTAGAGGGTTGGGGCAAGGGGGAACAAGTACTGGCCAGAATTTCACTCCAAATATCTTTGCATGAGACCTCAGCTCCAAGTTGGCCATGCAACCAGACAGATGAACTGGGGAATCAGAGGTGGCAGCTAAAGTGGCAATGCTTAGACTCTTTCGTTTTGTTACAAAGGGGCGACTGCGTGGAATTCATCATTGTAGCTGCGGCAACCAACTTCTGCTTTGCACGCCCCAGAGGCAAGGAGCTTAGAAGGAAGGACAGGAGGCTCCTCCTCGCCTAAGGAGAGAAAAGAAGACAGAGTCACACAGTCATTGCATTTCACTGGGCCAGGTGTTCATGCCAGAATGCGGCTGGATCTGGGTTTGGACTATGGGTTTTCCACAAATAAGGCAGGCATCCCAACCAGCTCAAGACAGGGCAGTCTCATCCTCCTAAGAGGTTCTAGCTCCTTTAGTTGAGCTAGAGGAAGGAAGAGACCTTACTTGAGGGTCAAGGGTTTGCATGCATGACTCCAATTAGTTACAAACCTGGTGAGGAGCATCCTGAGATGGCATCGTGCTGGGGCTCCCTGGGGAAGTGGGGCCTCCTGCAGGCCCTCCTGACTGGGGCCCTGTGCTGAGCTAGGATAGAGAAAATGCTGTGCCCATGAACCACAGGCTCAACGCCCCGCAGCTTTAAAGACAACCAGGGGAGGGTTGAACACTATAGGTCTCAACAAAGACACAGGTCCACAGACGCTTATCCAAGACCCTTGGAGACTGGTGTGTTTTGGTATCGTAATGTTTTTGGAGTTTAGAAAGGTGATAAAATGTACATAGTGTGTGTTTCATAACACCCCTCTCAGGGTCTGGGCAACCCACCGTAACTTAGAGCACTTCTGCAACTCAAACATATGAGTATTCACATTACCTGGGATGAATCAAAACTATCAAAGGAGCTGTGTTCCCATCAGGTTTCACTGCTTAATAAGTTGACACCAAACTTAAAAAAAAACCAACGTTTTGAGGGATTTTATAAGTAGCCGAAGGCAACGCCCTGTGTCAGCAACCTGACCCAGGGGCCTCTTACCCAGGCCTGAAGAGGAGGACACGCTCTCCGTCAGGGAGGACGTCTCCGTCGGGTCCGTCGAGAGTCCTTCTATCAGCGGCAGCGACAGCTCCGACGAGGGCACAGAGGAGTCGTAGATGCCCGAGTCCCGCGGCATGTCCGACGGGCTGCCGGCTTTGGCCACGAGCGGCCGGGGCCGCGGGGCCGCGCCGCCGTCAGGGCCGGGCCGGGCCTCGGCGTCCCCGTCCAGGCCCGCGTGCTGGCTCTCTGCGTTCCAGTCGGCCGGCCCGGCCCCCGCAAGGACGGACGCCTCGGCCTTCAGGCAGCAATCGCCCTCCGGCCCCGGTTTGCACGCGACGTCGTTTAACACCACGCCGGAGTCGAACTTCTCCAGGACTGGCTCCCGGAAGCGCAGCGGGGGCGGGCGGAAGCGAGCGAACTGCTTCTCGAACCAGTCGGGCTCCTCGTCGATAAAGCGGTGCATGTTGCAAATGGCGACGTACAGGGACCGGCCTGCCTTGCTCCGGAAGTAGTTCCTTCTGCCGCCGAGGCCAGGGTGCTGCCCCGGTTCCTGGAGGCTGTGGTCTCGCGAGTGCAGGTGAGAGCAGAGCTGGGGCAGGTTGTCCATTAGTTTGTACTTGGTGCTTAGGTCCAGGACGCCAGGGACATCTCCCTCACAGGAGTAATCGAAGTAGACTGCAATGAACTTGCTGAGCGCCGCGGCTGAGCCCTGCTTGGCCTGGCGGAGCTTTTCAGCGATGGCCGCCACCGCCACCAGGAAGAGCTCGCCTTTCCCTGAGCCGCGGCTGGCTGCTGTGTGTTTGTAGTTCTTCTTGTCCACAAAGTACTTCATGCCTTTGGAACAAACCACAATGATGAACTGGGACTCCTGGATCTTCTGGATGACCCACTCTCTCTGCCCTTCTCTGCAGAGGTTGAAGTCTTCCCACAGGTCCAGAGCCACCTGGAAAGAGAACAAGACACCTCACCTACTTGTACAGAACGCCCAGGAAGAGTCTGGAAAAGCAGGTAACAAGAACAGGAATGTCAGACGAGGTCACATCATCTGCCCCTTAACCATTAGTAGCACAGCTATGTGGAAGCTCCACATTACCTGGTACCAAGGAACAACTAAGGTTCTGTGGATGATGGTCATACTCTAGTCCTTTCTGCAAGAACTTGCCATCCATCAGCTCATTTTAGCATCATTTGGGATCATTACCACTCTTGTTGTACAAGTGAGGAGACAGAAACACAGAGCTCTTGGCAACTTGCCTGAGTCACACATAGGACATCGTCAAGGAACCTACGGTGTGGTGGAGAGCACAGAACATAGAGGAATTGGGGCTTTGCTGTATCTGGTGAGGCTGCCTGGAAGGGAGGGGCAGATCCTGGAGAGAAGGCTGGCAGGCTCTGAGAGGAGGACATGGATGAATGATCTCAAAGTGGGCTGGGAGATAGGACCCAGGCCTAGATCCCACAGTCACACACAATTATAAGTGACTCATGTCCAGAGAGCATGATGGACAAAGAGGACCTCCCTGGCCACTCTCACAGCACCAGGGTCAGCTATACTATTTACCAGTTGGTCAACAGCTGTGGAAAAAGGTAGTGAACTGCAGTAACACGGCCATTCTGGTTCACTTACTTGGGACTGACCAGCACCTCCCTCCATGGCTTCACAAAGGCCTGAAGGGTCACATCTCTACAAGGCCTGTAACAGACAAGGCATTTAACTCCAAGGGGGGGGTCTAGTAAGGAGGTTGGGAGGGGGGTGTCCCTGACAATGGAAAAAAAAAAAAACAGACATGCATGGCCCCTCAGAGGGCTTCACCTTCTCAGACCACTTTCATCTGATTTTGCTGAAAATGTCAACTGTGTTAGTGTCTTCCTTTCTATAGAAAGGAAGTTCAGAAACTAATTCCCAATGGCTATGACCAATAAAAGCAGCCACAGTCTCTTATAGGAGAAGGACATTCTGAAATGACTTTGTTCTCCTCTTCTGCTCTGAAAACCAAAGGGAAGGGAAGAAAGCCCTAAGAGCCATCCACTTGTTGAAAATAATCCTTAATTGTCTTATACTTTCATTAATTCTTTCTAATATACATGCTAAAACTAACTGGGAGCATACACCAAGCATTTTTAAAATGTTCCTATCTTTGACCCACTAATTCCATTTCTAGGCATCTATTCTTGGGAAATCATCAGAAATAGGATAGTATTGAACTGCTGAGATATTTAACAATTTGTACTAACTCAGTTCTGGTGAGTCAATATTGATGATCATGTAGCCATTTTTAATTGCAGTTTTAGACTACTATTAATAATAATGTAGAAAATTATTAAGTGAAGAGACAGAAGAAAAACATTCAAATCCGCCCAAAATGCAAATGTATATGTTAGTTCACCTATGCAGAAAAATACTGGATGGACATGCATTAACTGTGGTTCTTCTTTATTCAGGTTGGGATTATAGGCAATTTTTTATTTGTCATCCTTTTCTAGTTTCCAAATTTTCTACAGTAAACATCACAATCATAATTGGGAGCGTGTTTTCCCCAGAGGCTGATTACTTGCAAAGTAGAGGAAACTGGGTTGTTTGTGATATCTGAAGACTGTGCCACCAGCTAGTGGGCCCTTGTTTTTCAGCAGCGCTTTCCTGCAGGGGAACCCTGGGCCCCAGCCTTGTAAATACATTGTACTGACACCAGAGGGCAGCCTCACCACGTGGAGAGATTCTGAGAAACATGCCAGTGGGCAGTTTGCAATCACCAATGAGTTCTAATTACACAATTATGATACAAATCTTGCTTTTGTAAGAAATAGGATGTGCCTTCCATGAGAGCTTCAGACTTCACTCTAAAAATGACCACTGGGACATTATAGAAAAGCTACATATTAATAGCTCAACTCAAGAGAACAGCAAAGAAACCAGAGAAGACAATTTGAGCACTTGACACATTTTCTGGGAGTCCTCCCCACCTCCTGCTTCTCTCCAGCCACTGCCCTCTCCTGCATCACCAGTTTCTCCCTTTCCATGACTTGTTCTAGTCAATGATCAAACAGCCTCACGGAGGTTAACTATTCCACCCTGAACCCCAAGATCCCCTCCAGTGGCAACCCCATTCTCCATTCCTCTTCTTAGCAAAACCCCAAAGAATCGTGTAAACTCACTGCTTTACTTGCCATTCTCTCTTTGGCCCTCTAGTGGAACTTCTGTCCTGAATATGCTCTCCAGAATGTCTTATGAGACCCCCCTCAACCTGGCTTTATGTTCCCATGGCAGCTGCTGGTCTTTTTAATGCTTACAAAATTCCTTCCAGTGGGTACTACTCCAGGCTTTTGAGCAGGAATGTGTCAGGGTTAGAACTAAGGGTTATAAAACATTTCGTGTTGCTTATGGGTAGGTCAGACTGAAAGACTGACAAGACTGTCCCCAATTTAGAAGCTGTGGCACTAGACAAGGGCAGATGTCACTGAAGCAGGCCTGGAGGAGGGGAGAAGGCGGTGGGGAGAGAGTACAGGGCAAGTGTCCTGCCCAGGGTAAGGGAAGAGACTTTTGATTCCGCACCTCACAGCCGCAGAAGTCCTGGAGGAAGTAGGCAAAGCACTGGACGACATTCATGTGATTCTGGCCATCTTTACTGGAATAGCAAAGAAAGACCTTCGGCGGCGGCTGGAGCCTCTCTCTGGGGAGTGCTGTGGTGTAGGTAGAGGACTCAGAGCTCTCTTCATCTAAATGTGAATATATATTTTCTAAATTGGAAAAGAAGATAGTGTTGATCCCTATAAGCAACACTTTGTCCTGCTCCCTAAGACTTGGAACCCAATGCTATCTTTGAGAAAAAACAGTTGACATGTCCACCTAGAACAGTCCCAGCACCCAACCTCACCAGCCCCATGGGTCATTGCTGGGAATAGAACAGCTGATTTGGTCACAAATTGTTCTTAACCTGAAATTGACTTTGGACAAGTCAAGAAATGTTGCAGGGGCCACCCTGGTTAGCAGCCAAGTGCACCTACTAGACCAATTAAGCATTGGCAGAGCTGACCTTTAAAAAACGAAGTTTTTATTATAGTTTACAAAGGTAAAGTGCATAAATCCTAAGTGTACATCCCAGTGAATTTTTATGCAAGTATACACTTGTGTAACCCACACCACAGACCAAGATATGGATCATTTCCATCTCCCCAGAAGGCTCTCTCATGACAACTGACTTTTATAAGTGATCAAGTGCTACTTACAACCTTACTCATGCTTTAGACTTTCTTTCTGCTCTTGAATTTACTATCTTGAGTTTGAGAATAGAATTATGCCTGTCCTTTTAGTGGCTCTGAGGCTAAAAGCTGAGGCTAATTATTTTGATTCTGGGAACTACAGCAGCCAGGGAACTGACTAGGACCTATGGAGGCTTCTGAGATGCCAACCTGGAGGAACCATACTTGCAGTCTCCCTCTCTATTGGCAGCAACCCCCAGTCTACCCTTAGTGGGGGGACATGGCACACAAAGAGATACCTTGTTGCTTCTTGCGGCACATCACAGTAAAGAGCGTTGCGAATGCTGATATGACAACCAGGGGCACAGTGATGGCCACAGCTCTGACGGGCCCAGCCCACGGGGAATGCACTGGGAAATTTTCAAAGGAAAGTTTTTGAACATAAGCAATGCAACAGGTTCAAAGAGAAACAACTTTTTTTCCTTTTTAAACGTAAGCTGCATAACAGGTTCTAGGACCCCACGACCACCTTTCTCTAGTGCTGGTTTGGTGATTATAAAGGATTCAACAGTTCATTTTTAAAGAGTTGTAGAGAATAATTCAACAGTTAGGAGTCTGCTGGGACATAAATACCTTTGAGTGGGAATTTTGCCTAAGGAAACCTCCCCTCCCACCACTTTTCTTCAGAGGACAATTGAGTATTTATTTAGCCCCAGTTACACACACCACACTGGCTTTGATCTTCTAGGCATCTAGCTACACTAGGGTGGAATGAAAGTCAGATTTGATGGAACATCATTTAAGAGAGAGAAGCCGAATTTAGTTTTGTTTTTGTAAAGCATGAAGTACAGAAAATATAAGATACCTTGATCTATGGTAGTCTAGAGCCATTTCAAAAAACAACAGTAAAAACCTACCTGGCTTTAAGGCATAATGCACCACTTTTCTTGTTGTATTAGTGTCATCCACCAGCTGAAAACAGAGGATGCTGTATTATTTCTTTTAAGTGAAAGCATCTCAACAAATTATGTCTACTGGGTAAGAGGAAGAAATGGCGGGATTCCATGCATTTTCCCATCAGTGGGCAGTGGGGGACGAGGCCAGTGGGAGGCAAGTATAGGAGAGTGACGGAGGGAAAAAAGAGCCATTGGTGCCTGTCATCACTGGCCAGGTGCAGACTGGGCATTAAGCACATGCAGGTTCATCTCTGCTTTACCAGCTCAAAACTTTAAGCTTCATCGTGTTTCCTTTCATGAATCAAAAGGCTGTTTATTAAATAACTCAGCTGGCAAGTTCCACATTCTAACAATTTTCAATTAAACTGGCATCCTACCACTGATTTTACTGGGCCTTCATTAATACTTTATGAAGGTGTGTCAGTCCAAAACCACATACTGCTACTGAGGAATGCAAGAACTAGGTGTTTCTACCAAAATGTTAAGACATGTTCATTGTCCTTGAATAGTGGGGCCATGAATAAATTGTTAATTTCCTTTTCTGTTTTACTTTTACTCATTTTTTTGTAGTATCAACTTGGTTCTGGAAAAGTAATTTAAAAAAAGAAAAGAAATTTCATTTGCAAGCTCTTTGAAGTAGTGTTTAGAGCTCATGTACACTTATATAGAACAGCAGCACAAACTCTAGAGGATAGACAGATATAACAGGCATAGCTTTTATTTCGCTGTTTTAATACTAAAACAAAAAATTTTTAAGCTAAAATTTGGAAAATATATCTTTGTAGTATGAAGGACTACACTACATAGATTTTATTCTAGTATTTGTTGTTTTGAGATGGGGTTTTGCTCTGTTTGCTAGGCTGGAGTACAGTGGCATCATCATAGCTCACACCAACCTCAAACTGCTGGGCTCAAGCGATCCTCCTGCCTCAGCCTCCTGAGTAGCTGGGACTACAGGCATGCGCCACCACACTCAGCTAATTATTTTTTTCTATTTTTTGCAGAGACAGGGTCTCACTATGTTGCTCAGGCTAGTTTCAAACTCCTGGCCTCAAGGGTTTCTCCCACCAGGCCTCCCAAAGAGCTAGGATTACAGGCTCACGCCTGTAATTCTAGCACTCTAGGAGGCTGAGGCGGGCAGATTGCTCGAGGTCAGGAGTTCGAAACCAGCCTGAGCAAGAGTGAGACCCCGTCTCTACTATAATATAGAAAGAAATTACTTGGCCAACTAATATATATATATAAATTAGCCGGGCATGATGGCGCATCCCTGTAGTCCCAGCTACTTGGGAGGCTGAGGCAGCAGGATTGGTTGAGCCCAGGAGTTTGAGGTTGCTGTGAGCTAGCCTGACACCATGGCACTCACTCTACCTGGGCAACAAAGCAAGACTCTGTCTCTAAAATAAAATAAAATAAAATAAAATAAATAAAATAAAATAAAATAAAAATTTAATGAGGGCTGGGCGCGGTGGCTCACGCCTATAATCCTAGCACTCTGGGAGGTGGAGGTGGGCAGATTGCTCGAGGTCAGGAGTTCTAAACCAGCCTGAGCAAGAGTGAGACCCCGTCTCTACTATAATATAGAAAGAAATTAATTAGCCAACTAAAAATATATAGAAAAAATTAGCCGGGCATGGGGGTGCATGCCTGTAGTCCCAGCTACTTGGGAGGCTGAGGCAGGAGGATTGCTTGAGCCCAGGAGTTTGAGGTTGCTGTGAGCTAGGCTGATGCCACAGCACTCACCCTAGCCTCGGCAACAAAGTGAGACTCTGTCTTTAAATAAATAAATAAATAAATAAATAAATAAAATAAAACATTTAATGAAAAGATCACAAATCAATTATGTATAAACTTTTTTTAAAAGCATGTTAAGAACCATATAAAAAATATAACCGTGCACAGCTTTAATGGCTTAAAATTTTAGTGTTGCAAACAGTTGGAATTCTACAAGAACTGGGTTCATTCTGTAGAATTAATAATAGGGTTTTCCTGAGTTATACATACCTCAATTATATAATCCCCTGGAGAAACATTTTGAAGGAGGCAGCTGGTTGTCTCTGTATTTTGCTCCTGCAAAAAGGCAAAAAACAATTTAAAAAACTCACTTCTTGGAACAAGGTCATGAGGACACCTCTCCCAAAAGCTGAAGGAGACTTGCCACCAATTTTAACTATAGTTTTTAGAAGATGTGATTAGATCAGAAAGCAGCTGTGTTTAGCTGTCATACGTTGCCCGAACTTCATTTTGATAAAAGGCCTAGAAGAGCTCAGGATCCCTGTCATAGTCTATGCTTAGCTGGTGGCACCCTCAACAGGAATATTTGATTCCAAGACAAAGAAGCTAGTTCAAATAAACTTTACTTAATAAAAGGGTGGGGAAAGAAATTACCGGTCTATGTTTATACGTATTATACACAGGATCATGTGCAGGAAGGTACCGGGCTTTGCCACTATGACCAAAACCTCTCTTGGTGCTCACAGGAGGCGATCTGGTAGTCCTGTAAACTTCCATGAAAATTTTCCCACTCCTCTGACAGCCCCCAGTTTCAGAACTCGGTTACTGAGTTTCTACTTAACCTTGACCTGCTTATAAAATCAGTGACAACTGAATTGCCAGCAGCTTGGCTCCTAGATCTGTTTTTCCTACCTATTAGCTGTGTGGCCTTGAGCAAGCCAGGTGACCTCCCTGAGCCTTAGGTTCCCCATCTGTAAAGGGGGATGGCCACTTTGTTTCACGGAGTGTTTAGGATTCAAGGACCATAAAGCTCAAGGTCTGCCACAGTGAGCACCTGATGAATGTTTAAAATACAGAAGAACAAACAAGAAATACTTAATTCTTTTTGATTTCTTGACAATACTTTTACCAGGCTACATCACCACTGGGAATACTGGGGATAGCTAGGGAGTGAAGGCCAACAGCAAGATGGCCCTGATAACATGTGATAACATGGTAACGTTCTGGACTATCTGTTGACTGCTGAGAGCCAACAAATCCTAATGCTCACATTGAGCCACCCAAATGCCAGTGGCCCGGGAGCTCTTTAAAGCATGCAGTGTTCCTTTATGCACACCCAGCAGCTCACCTGCTTACACATCTTTCGCTTGAAAGGTCCTTCATGCTTGAGCTTATAGTGAAGATAGAAGAAGCGGAAGCCAAAGTTGTGTGGTGCATGGTCGAAGGACACCTGCATGTCCAAACCGTGCTGGGTGATGTTCAGATTCCGAGGCTTCCAGACTGGGAAGAGATAGGATCCCAGAGTGAGCACCCAGAGGCTGCCCCAGCACCATAGTGGTGGCAGTACTCTGAGACTTGATAGATAAAAACAGCTGTACTTACAGGGTTTACAAGCCAGGTTGTCCGGCTGTAACAACAGGTCACAGGCTATTAAGAGAGACACATATTTTTAGTTTTAGGATAGTTTGACACTTTCCTTATCCAACCATTCAATAAAATATAAAGATGTTATGCTACATAATGCTAGAAAAGGTATAAAATACATCAGTTCAACAAAAATTCTCACTACAGTGCTGTTGCATCTTATGAAAACTTAAATGGTACAATATAAAAATATTAATGCAGTTCACTTTATGCCACATAAATGGAAACAGTACAAAGTCACCCAGATTTTAAAACCTTGTCAAGCATTACATAATTTCAAGGCTGGTAGCTAAGAGGAGTAGAACTACATCCATGCTGCATGGAGGCTCTGTTTTAGCTGTGAATAGAACTGTTGCCAGCCTCTGCCCCACTGTATAGGTGTCTAGGCATAAGAGAAATTCAGAGTGCTGCAGGATTATCTTAAATTTTACTAGAATTAATTTAAAATCATTTTAATGGATTCTAAAAATGACATACGGGCATCTACTAAGCAGTGGTGTCAGCATTGAAAACCAGGTACCAATGCCAGTAGCTTTGAAACAGAATTTAAACACAATGAGAGAGGCCAAACAACTAGTCCAATATGACATGCTGCTAACCCAGGGATAGTTTTGGGGAAGTATCCATAAAATGCCAAGAAAATTGAAGGCCACAGTGCACTGAAATAGTGATAAATATCTGCATTCCAGGAACACATCCCTGCCTCCGCCTCACCCCCAGACAGGCACATCAATTCAATTCCAATGGGAAAAATTAATCTTACATTATGCTAATTTTGATTTAGGCAAGGTTTTCATAAACACATTCTTTGAATCCTCCATCTGGTCAGTATGCACAAGGCATCAAGACATGTGACATATACATGACCTTTGCCCTATGGAATCTTATTTTAACTAAGAAATGAGACCAATTATTATGAAATAACTTTGCTGCATAGAAAACCACCATAGTAAGAATTCTGCAAAGGGAAGTACTGATGTAGGCTGGAGTTGAGAACAAAACATCACAGTGGATGAGGACTGCAACCAGATCATAAAGGAGGGGATGCCGGTCAGGACTGGCAGCTGAACATCCAATGCCTGGAATGCCAGACAGAAAGACTGACTGGGGAAGACAAGAGGGACCTGCTGCAGGTCTCAGGGTGAGCAGCCACCAAGTTTGAAAGCAGTGATTCAGGAAGATTAAAGACCCACCATGTACACAACAGAGGGAAAAGGTGAGCAACTGGGAGCCCAGCATGGTGGTAGAGCGTGTAGACTCCAGAGCCAAACTTCTGGAGTTCAAATCCCCGTTCTTAGCAAGCCCTCAACCTCTCTGTGTATGATTCCACATCTAGTAAGCGGGGATGATAAGATTAAATTCTTTGAGGTAAACTGAGTTAATACTTGGAAAGCATTTAGAGTAGGGCCTGGCACACAGATGTTAAATGAATAAGTAAAACTGCCTAGAAGAGGTGGTCTCAGGCATACTGCTTAATTTTGTTAATCTAGTCCTGAAAATGACAGGCTGCCCTCCTGATGACAGGTAAAAGATGAAATCATCTCATGCTCCTACCTTTTACCCCAAAATCAACTTATACTTTTTATTCCTGTTTTTTACTTTAATCAAATTGTTTTGATACATGGTTTTTGTTTTTGTTTTGAGATGACAGTCTTGCTGTATCACCCAGGCTCCTCTCAAACTTCTGGGCTCAAGTGACCCTCCTGTCTCAGGCTTCCCAACAGCTAGGACTACAGGTGGGTGCCACTGTGCCTGGCCATACGCTGCTGCCTTAGTGGTGGTCACAGCATCCTCAAAAACTCTGCTGTTAAGTCTGTTTTAGAATAAGCCAGGAGTACGCATCTCTGGTTAGGTTAACAGTCCTGGGCCTAACCTTAATTCTAAAAAGTGCTTTTCTGGATACCTCTTCTGGGTGCTTTTCTCCTTGTCACACTTGTTTCATGCCAGTATTTGGTGTGCTCTTGAATATATCTCTGTAGAAAAATCATTAAAAGCAGCAGAAAAGTCTCCTCATGGGAACCAGGCAGGAAAGACCATACTTACCTCGGGTTCTGAAGAAGAAAGGGTGGTAATTGCTTTCATTTTTAATGGAAGGAAAAGGTACAACCTTTACAAAGTAATCTGTTTCAAATTTCATATTCAGGAAAGGTTGAGATTCCATTCCCTAAAAGGAAACAAAAACCACATGACGTCATGGAGAAATTACCCGCCCTCCACCTGCACGAGATTTTTGCCCCTACCCCACTGTCACCCAGACCCAATTCCAGAGCTACAGGACATGCCCCAGGGAGGCAGGAAGTGAGGTCTATTTTCTGGACCTGACTTCCAGAAATCCAAGTTTAGGTTTGGGTCCCTCACCTTCCTTTAGCAAGGAAGCCACAGCTCATTAATCTAAACCTGAGAGCTGGAGGGGAGGGTGAGCCCACATACACTTCAGAGCACAAAGACACCTTCCAGGATCGCTGCTCTTGGTAACCCGAGAGGTATGTTTTCCACAGAGAGGTGCTGAAGAGTTTTCCTGGGAGCCTGAGCAGGCACAGGGTGTTGCCACACCTTTCTCGCCCACCTTGGCTGGTGGGCTGGACCCCAGGCCCCTCCTTCTCCAATTTCAGACTTTCACTAGACCATTCAGAGCCCTAGAACAATAGCAGTCTTCAGGAGCACATTCCCGAGTGGACTCACAGTGCTTTTGAAGCTGCTGTCAAGCTGCTTCGGGTCCTTTAGGGTCAGTTGTTGGCACTGCCTTCCCTCCGACTTCAGCTCCTCCAGCACCACCCGGAATCCTTTCAGGAATTCGATGCCTAAGCACAAGAATGCTTTTTTTTAAAAAGCGAATCTAATTACTTCTGAACATACTTTCCTTCCTCTAAGATTGCCGTGCTTTCTACCTATACACCAGAGCTAAAAGAATTCTTACTGTGGTCAGAGTATCTGAGTCTATAGAAAGGAAAAACACATACTGAGTTCTTCTGATACAGACCAGGTGATTCTTTCTGTCCCATCATTACTAATTAATTAATCTCTAATCCAGCCAATCATTTCACAAATATCCATTTCCTCTGTGGCATTAGGGTTAAAATATTTAGATTCTAGTTACAATTGTTCATAAAAGTCCACAGTGGAATATATAATTTCTAGGTCATCAAACAGGGTACATTCAGCTGATGATAATTCCCAGTGTTCACTAGGGAATCCCCTAAGCCTAGTTTCACTTTAAGTTTTAGCTCTATATTCTTTGACATGTTTCACTGAGCAACATGCAAAATTCCCAACAAAGTGTTTGTCTGCACCAAGGGGCTCTGAAGCTTGAGATCAAATAGCTCAGGGGAACGCCTGTGCGATTTGCAAAGCGGCTCTTGCTCTGATCATGCCTGAAAGGCCGACAGCCGAGGCTGCCCAGGGTGTGCCCTTCATGCAACCCTCACAGGTTTGGAGACACCCACAGCGCCACTGAAAAGCGCCGGCCCAGCCTCCCGCCACCTGAGCTTCCCCCACTGCACGTCCGACTAGATGCTTTCAAAAGGATTAAGCTCTGATGGCCACAAGAGCCAGCACCAGAGCTCTGTATCCCATGGAGACTGGGGTGGTCCAACTGCATCTGGAGATCTCCAAAGGCGGCCTCAATTGGGGAGATATCGATTTCACATTCTTTCTGAACACTAGACAAGGAGACATTTTAAATCCTTCCTCTCTCAGGGCAAAAGTAATTACACAGGATGCAATTAACCAGGTGGTAAATTTATTGGTAGTAAAGGCCAGGAAAATCTTTTTCTCTTTTGAACAGGTTCTCCAATCCTATAATTATTTGGTGAAGAACATATATTTCACGGTGGGTAGGGCAGAGAAGCCACAATTAGAGTTTCACGTTTTAGGGGTTCTGAGGGCTACAGTACAGGTACTGACTGCCATGGTGCATTTTCAAATACAAAGCTTCCTGTGGGACAGGACAGCCTGAGATTCGGACATGGTAACAAGATACAAGGTCTTTAGACCAACAACTATGTAATAGATCTCCCAGGAGCTTGCCTTTTGAGATTAAGAAAAAAAAGAATTTTGAATAAATCCTTACTATTTACGCTAAGATTTAATTTATGCAATGTAATTTATGCAAGAATTACTGTTTAACAAAAGCCATGTGATTAATAAGATTAACAGCTCTACATCTCATTATTACATAAAAATTGATCTGCTCTTATATTTCTTGTTCCTGTTTTTAAAAGACTAGCCTGAAAACCACAATGTCAATTCTGGGGCTGGGGGTAGGGGCAGCAAATGGTGTTCCTTTACCATTGTGCTGTGTCAAAATACTATTTAACATTAACATCTTGTAGCAGTATAATGATCAGGAATTTTACAGAGCAGCTTCTCATGAAGGAACTTATTATTTGGTCTCTGTCCCATCATTTAAACTCATTAAATCCTCCCAACAACCATAGGAGGAGGTTATCATCCCCCATTTTAGAGATGAGGAAACTGAGGTGTACAGAAGCTAATTGGCTTGCCTAGGGTTACATGGGAATGAAATGGCAGAGGCGGGGTTCGACCCCCGAAGTGTCTGGCTCTCAGCCAATGCTCTTTACTCACACACTTTTCTACTTTCTAAGACGTTTCCTTGATAGGGCCTGATAAAACCTGATAGAACCTGTCCAGCCACCCCACCCATAAATAAGCCATCGTCCGGGGAAAGCACAGCCTCTGCCCTCCCCATTCCACATGCAGCTCTCGCCGTGGGCTCACACTTCTCACCTTCATTCTACAGGGGAGCCTGCGATTCGTCAGGCCAACCCTCACCCATTTAAGCCGTACATGGAATGACTACTTCCCTTTCATCTACAGAGATTGTTTTCTATCTTTGAATGTTAAAATAACATTATTTTTGGAAAACTCACTGGGTTCAGACCCAGAAGTATTTATGTGGAGAAGTGGCTCAAGCCACAGGTCTGCTCCATCCTCTTCCTCCTTGCATTCAGCCCTTCTGCAGTCTGGTTCTTCTAAAACTTAGCTGGGAGGCCGAGGCAGACGGATCGCTCAAGGTCAGGAGTTCGAAACCAGCCTGAGCAAGAGCGAGACCCCCCGTCTCTACTAAAAATAGAAAGAAATTAATTGGCCAACTAATATATATAGAAAAAATTAACCAGGCATGGTGGCGCATGCCTGTTGTCCCAGCTATTCGGGAGGCTGAGGCAGGAGGATCGCTTGAGCCCAGGAGTTTGAGGTTGCTGTGAGCTAGGCTGACGCCACGGCACTCACCTAGCCTGGGCAACAAAGTGAGACTCTGTCTCAAAAATAATAATAATAATAATAATAATAATAAATAAATAAAACTTAGCCTGTTCAGATTAAGAAATTCACACTCTACTTCTCCCTTGGCCAGGTTTTAAGAAACGTAAGATGTTAAAGGGGCAGGCCTGAGAACCAGGTTCTGATGATAGTAACAGCAGCCACTATTCTTTGAGAATCTCTCTGGAAATGCACCGTGTGTCTCTAACCACAGAGGTACTTTCATCTCCACGTCATAGATGGGGAAGTTGAGGCTCAGCGAGGCTTCAATGCCTATGTGAAAGGTTGATTTTGGGTTTAAACCCAGGACCATCTGAACAAACGGTCCTTTCCCATGTTTTATACTTGACTAACCTGTCCTCTCCTGTCTATCCTCAATTCACTCAAGAAGACAAACAGATTTAGCCCTAACCTGAATCTGGACAGGTAATGTGGATTTTCTTTTTTCTGTTTCTTCGTTTTGGTTTTGTTTTGTTTGGGGTTTTTTTTTTTTGGCCCACACAGTTTAAATAAAAAATTCAATTAGTTGCCAACATTTAAAAATTCATTGATTTCCTAGTACTCTGGGAGGCCAAGGCAGGCAGATCGCTCAAGGTCAGAAATTCAAAACCAGCCTGAACAAGAGTGAGACCCCATCTCTACTAAAAATAGAAAGAAATTAATTGGCCAACTAAAAATATATATAAAAAATCAGCCGGGCATGGTGGCGCATGCCTGTAGTCCCAGCTACTCGGGAGGCTGAGGCAGAAGGATCGCTGGAGCCCAGGAGTTTGAGGTTGCTGTGAGCTAGGCTGACGCCACGGCACTCTAGCCCGGGTGACAGAGTGAGACTCTGTCTCAAAAAAAAAAAAAATTAATTTCATGGTCTGTCATGAAAACAGGGATTTTCCTGAAAAACACATGTGCCAGTGGTGGGCCTGTATACGTGGTGTCCACAGAGACCACTAATGCTGGATGTTGAGCCACTACACCCTTAGATGGACCACAGACTCTCTTGGCACCGCCACCCACTCACCCCTGACTACTGCTGGAGACAGAGAGGCCAGGGCCTCAGTGCTATTTGTTACTCACACACTATTATTTTTCAGACCTACGTTTCTCTCAGCAATAGTCAAGGAAACAAAAGAGGAGGGTACGTGTGGACAGCTTCAGGCCACATGCATGCCTAGCAGGTGTATGGGACAAAGCACAAAGTATGTCTGTGCCCAGTTCAGCGTAAGCTTTACTCACATCCAGCCCCACCTGGGCCCTGGAGGCCATCATAACTGGGACTCTTGCACTGGCACTACCCACCACGGTGGACTCAACTTTCAACCACTCACCAAGGGCCCCTGGGGACCAAAGAATGGTGACTGCCACTTGGTCATGACAAGCATACTGGCTGACGGTGATGTTCTGGGCGTCGGCGATCACATGCTTCCCGGCTGGGTTCAAGTAGGTGGTGCAGTCTAGAGAGTTGGGAGAACGAGAACAGTTAAGTTAAATTTTTTGTTTTTATTTTCAGGTTCATCTCAAATTACACAGAGCTTGTCTAAGGGCGGCCAAACTCATTCTACTTAACGACATGTGCCTTGAAAGCCCAAATATGACATGAAAGATTGATGCTGCTTGGGAAACTAAAAGATGCTACAGAGGAATTTATTTATAGCACCACCATCACCACCCACCCACCCCAAGTTAAATTCCAGGATGGTGTTGGGAGGACCATACACAGTGTGGAATCTGCGTGTGTATCTGGCACTAACTTTTTTTTTTTTACTCTTATGACATTTTACCTAGGTCAATAATTATTTATATCAATTCAGCCAGTTTTCAGCATTCAAGAGTGATTTATAACAAAACAATGGCTAAATAATCTGGGCTTTGTTTCTAGAAGAAACCCAGAGGGCAAGGTGATTAGGGAAAGGAGCTAACATTGGGATGTGACTCCAGGGGGAAGTGATACACAGTTAAGTCTCTTAAACAAGCCAGTTAGTATCTGCACAAGGTACTAACTTAGTGACCGAATGACACGGATGTTAATTAGCATAGTTCAAAGGTAAGACTGTTGTTCCCTGCATTGTCAAAGACCTCCATGATCCCCACTTAATCCAAAGGGCCCCACATAGCTCAAAAAACAAAAACCACATCATCTTTAATTTTGTCTGAGAACACTTGTCAATGTAGCCCATGCGAGCAGCTGTGCCATCTAGTATTGCTAAATACACTCTCAAAATCTGCACATTTCCTAAAAAGCTGCCAGAAAGCTTCCTGTCAGAAGTGGGCTATGACTCAGGGAACGGCTGTGCTGAGCTGTCCCAGTCACTCCTCCAGCAGGCACCGCTGGCGACTCCTCCATGCTTCTCTTTCTCAGTGATTCAACCTGAACACCCTCTTTTAGTGCCTGCTGCAAAAGGACACCTGTGTCATTAAATGTCCAAACCTGCCCATTACCCCTCTGAAGTCAGGGAGTTTTTCTTTGAGGTGAAGCATTCCAGGACATTTTCTAAGAAGCTCAGGGAATCTGCTGCATTTGTTCCCCTTTAAACTGTACTGTACATTTCCTATTTTTATGAGTAAAAATGTTCATTGGAGACATTTAAAAACCACAAAAGAATATAAAAATGTAAGTCATTCCTAACCTCTCACCACACAGAGGTGCTATAAACATTCTAACAGCTACCCTGCCAAGCCTGTTTTAACATACATGTAATACTCCTTCTTTTAAATTTCTCATTAAAGTATAACATACAGATGCTAAAATGAGCCCCCGCTTAAAAACTCCATCTTGCACACTGCCTTGTACCCTGCTTTCTTGCCTAACTACATTAGGCACACTGTCTCCTCTAAACTCCATCTGCTTCAAAAACAGTCACACTCACATTTCAGTATTACTTCTTTTGAAAGGATGTTAATAACTGAGAAAACCAAATTTTACTTCTGAACAAAATTCACTCTCTCAAAGCTATCGACATGTGTGCTCTGGATGCAGAAAAGAACTTTAAAATAAGAAAAAAAAATTTTAAACATCTGGCTTAACAACCCCGCTGTACAAATGAGGAGGCTGCAGCTGTGAGGGGTCGGCTGGCGGCTTAGGCGCCCCCCCCCCCTTCCCCGGCCCGGCGTCGGCGGAGAGCAGCCTCTGCGGGCCCGCCCAGGCCTTGCTGTTCTGGCATCAGCACGAACTTTTCACTGTTAACATAAGCTCTGAGTCAGGGGTGTTCAGCCTGCAAAAATCCTGGCTGAGACCAGCTTCCCAATATTAAAAAAAACAAACAAGATCCTATCACACTTGTAAAGTTTGAATATTTTTATTTATTGAAGTCTATAATAAAAGAGAAACCTTTGACTCAGACAGCTCTGAAAAATGCATAAACAACAGCAAATCAGGTTTTCTTCTTTATTCATTCCTAAGGCCAAAATTAATACCCTTTGATTTTCTGTAGATGCAATTATGCAAATATAAAGTCTGAGAATTAAGAAAATTTATCATAACTTACTCAGGTATACCCACTCAGAGCCTACAGGAAAAACATGAATACAAGGCCAAAGTAGGCCAGGAAGCTTGGGAAATTGAGTTTTGACTTAATGGCAAGACATTGCCTTCCTTTCTAACATTAAATGATAAAGGAATAGCAAAATAAGATTTTGTAGTTTAGTAATTCTGGTGAAAACTCAGTAATTGCCTCTTAGCTATCTCATACAGAACTAGTAACCAGTCAACTGAGCAGTAATAGGAACTTCCTTGTGGAAGGGAGAAACATCTTTTTCAATATAAAACAGTAAGTTTTGTTTTGTTTTGTTTTTTAACAGTCTGGATCCAATTATTAGCAAGTCTAAAGTTTTGGATTCTGGATGCAAAAACTTTATGCCTGCATGACATTTGCCAGCCAAAATGCAACTGAGCTTCCAAAATCTCAGGAGTCAATGTGAGCTGTGAATTAAATTCTAATTAAAAAGAAAGTTATGACTAAAGCAGGCATAGGCATGTGGGCTAAATATTCAGCATTATAAAGAAAATAATAAGATAAAACCTTTTAAGTTTTATGGGTAGAGATCCTCTTTTGCTAACCCCATATTAGATATGCATATTAGATATTGCATATTAGATATGCAAATCTAATTTGCTTGTTTGCAGCTGATTGGAAAATTTTAAACTCTTGAATGTAATGCAAGATCTGCAAGGACCAAGAACATATATTAGAAATTAACTTTCTAACTCAGAGAAAGATCCCTCACACATCTTTACTTAGCTGCATCAAATGTCACGGACATGCAGATCTCTCACTATTTATATATGCATATATCTCTCAGCATTTACCCAGAACACGCACACACCACTGATGTGAGACACACCACTGATGTGAGGCGTCTGCATTTCATGTCTAAGTCCTCACTGGCTAACCTAAAACACCAATGACAGCAACTGTGGGTGTGCATCTGACACACATATTTGCATCTTAAAATTGTTAGACTGTATCCATGACCTCAAAAACCCTGCTGGTGGCGGTGATTATTCCAGAGGCCTCAATGTGACCTGAGCCGCTTACTTACATTGACTCGTAACCATGTCCAAGAGCTTCATCACATGTTAAGAGTCACTAAATATGAGTCAAGCTCCCTCTTCTCATTTTTACTTATAAATTATGGCTCCTAAGGCTAAAATGCTCACAATTCTATACAACTACCTTCTTCAGAATGAAAGTAGCTGCTTAGAAGGGATCCTATATGTTTAAACAGAAAAACACCCTCTCTCCCACCAGCTTAGAAATCAATTCAGCCAGAAAAAGTCACACTTTCTTGAGAGAAAGGGAAAAAATGGTGCTTGTATTCAAATTCCAGTTGGGCTGACTTCTAACATTAATAGATATCAATTACTGAGTGTACACGGCAGGCCAGCTACCAAGCTGAGCAGTTGTTATAAGCATTACCTCATTTAAGCCTCAAAATGATGCCAGGAGAAGCAAACTGATCTTTATTTGATAAGAAAACACTGGAGCTTGAAGAAGCCAAATCGCCTGCCACGGCTCACACGGGTAGGTGGGGGGACTGGGGCTGGAACTCAGGCCTAAGTCAGAAATGGCCCGCCAGAGACAGCTCTGCCGATCTGGGACCCAGACTCACTTGACCAGCTCTGTGTCTGTGAAAATTTTTAAATAACTGCCAACATTAGAAAATGTTCACACAGAGCTGGGTGCGGTGGCGCATGCCTGCAGTGCCAGGTACTTGGGAGGCTGAAGCAGGAGAATCGCTTGAACTCAGGAGTTTGAGAGGAGCCTGGGTGATAGAGTGAAACCCCCCAACAATAACTGAATACGAAAAGCACAGATTGCCCACTATTCTTGGAATCACACTTGGCTACATTCAGTAGGGTTTCCTCAAGGCTACCACAAGCTAGAGCCAAGGAGTCAGTGCTCCCTTCAGAGCAGGCATGGGCTGTCCAGTGTCCCATAGTCCCTACCATTCCCTGGCATCCTGCACACAGGCAGCTTTGTCTATTTGTTCCCTGCTCAGCCCTCCTGGCATCTGCATTTGTTCTTAACCACTTCAGTCCGGCACTCCCCGGCCGGAAACCGCGCCCACACCGCACTCACAGTCCGCACGGCAGTCTGCGCTGCGCTGCGCAGCCCGTCTTGGCTCGCGTGGTGAGGAAAGCTCGAGAGCACTGAGAGCTGGTTTTAGTTTTACAGGCAGCTTTACCTGTCATGTGAATCAGAACAGGTAACATGTACATATATGTTTTCATTATGTTATGTTTAAATGTTCACAATTTTATTTTGATAAACGGATAATTAGAAAAGTCATATCACGGCTGTCAGCTAAAGTCGCTGTGCGCGTTCATCTGTGGCTGTCGACTGTAGGCAACGCTGGTACCGAAGTGGTTTTAAGGACATGGCTAAGTCCCGAGGAACTCAGGGAAGGGCTCCATGCATAACTTTTCTGAACACATGGAAGACACTTGACCTGTTCAGGCTTCCAAATACATGAGTGGGTTAATTGAGACTGAGCTGTTTTAGCTCTGTTGACAAACCTGAACAGGTTCAGAAAATTCCTCAACCCCCAGACCTGCAGTGTCCTTGACTAAGCATGACTGTGTAAGAAGCCTTAGGTCACTGAAACGGCTCCATTCTTCAGCAGGCGAGCCCGTGACTTACTGTCATATCTGAAGGTGATGTTGTGCAGCCCGCTGCTTCTGGTGGCCAGCCCCATTCCCTGTGGGAAAACAAGAGAACATGATGCGAAGTGAAGCCAATTTGCTTTTCCACTACAGATCCCTACGGTGTGCAAATGCACGTAGAATTGCTGAGACCCAGGGTCATGCCCGTGCCTGAACATCACCCACCACTCTTTCTGCCCACCCATGGCCCTCTGACATCAAACTCCCTCCAGCCCAGAAATTTCTAACTGCCAGGCCACCAGGATCATGAGTGTCCACTTCCCTAAGACAAGAGAAGCAGGCTATTCTCTTTAGCGGTTAAATAATAATAATAATAATTCATTAACAGTAAACTTGGGAGAGGGACCAAGAGCTGCCAGCTGGAGCCCTTCCAGTTAGATCTACATTGAGCACTGATTGGTTATAAAATTTGCCTACTCCAGACGCCCTCATCTGCAAGCTCTATTAAGCCAAGACAGATCGGCAATTCCTCCAGTCTAAGGAAACCAGTTTCTCATTCCAAGACTGGGAACTAGTTTGGGAATAAGCCATTACTTTTAATGAGAAAATTCTTCACTGCAGCCATACCTATGCCTGGAATACATAGGGTGGGTCATAAAAGAAAAAAGACTTTAAAAGGTCTAACTCTTAACTCTTGGTGATGTGGCCATTAGTCATCTGCACCCTTTACAGCAGGGCTAACAACTCCGCCAGACTTCCCACTTTCATCACAGCACCACGGGGGGCACCGAATTCCTCTCGGTGGCCAGCCTTTTCCTAACCCACCATTTACCCATCAAGGGAAAGAGCAGCTACAGATCAACTGAGTCTGATTTATCTGTTTCTGAAATAATCTGCAAATGTGCTGTATTAATTGCAGAATTCTCCAAAATGTGTTAATTCTGAAATGCTAAATGATGTGAAAATATCCTAACCACACAGCTTAAGTTTCCACTTAACAAGGAGGATGTTGGGGAAAGCCATATGCTGGCAGCCTGGTATTTAATGGGCAATTGTTACACTGAGACACGAGGTGCAGAACACTTCTGATGGAGCCCAGAGTTTCAGACCACAACCCCATCACATCCAGATGCTCAGGCATGTTCACACTGCTTATCCTCAAGCCAGGCACGCCCACTGAAACTATATCCCTTAGCTCAGATGTACATGGGCCTTGGGAAAGCACAGCTGTGCAGAAAGGGGCACATGGACACACACACACATGCTCTCTCTCTCTCTCTCCAAAGCTGCAGTTCCCAATACCCAGGTCCTGGCCCAGTACTGGCCCATGGCCCAATAAGAAATGGGACGTGCATCACCACCTGAGCTCTGTACTCCTCTACCCCCAGTCTGTGGAAAAATTGCCTTCCATGAAACCGGTCCCTGGTGCCAAAAAGGTTGGGGACCACTGCTCTAAAGTGAGGAATAAGCAGCAACACAAAACCTAAATCAACATGGCACACCAGCCCACGATCTACTGGGGCTCCCTTTCTTCCTAGTTCACCTTCCTTCTCCAGCTTTCCTCTTCCATCCTCTCTTCCCCACATACACAAGATTACAGAATTCCTCACCTGAACTGAAACACTTTGGAATGTATTGTTACCTTATTAAAATCCTGGGAGTGTCCATAACTCCTTAGGGACAAGGTCACAGTCTGTGCAACTAGAGGCTGTCCAACCTCCAAATGGCGAAGACCAGAGTAATACAACCAGGCGGGAGACCAAGAAGAAGACAATCCAATCCCCTACAACCTTTGGTCTCCGCCCAAGACCAAAGCTCAAGACCTCTAAACGATACCCTTCTGCTCCCTTACAAATCCCCAGGATATAAACTCACTTACCATCTATTAATATTATGAGCTAGACAAATTATGCTATGTGGCAAACAAAACAGCCACTGTCCCTGCCATTGTGGAATGAAGTAGCATGATGTTCATCCTTTCAAAGAGTAACTAGCCACATGGATCACACTCAAGACATACAGATAAATCTCAGATCAATCCCTGGCCTTCCAAGAATGCCTAGTTTAGGCATTGTCTTCTCTTTTTTTTTTTTTTGAGACAGAGTCCCACTCTGTTGCCCGGACTAGAGTGCTGTGGCATCAGCCTAGCTCACGGCAACCTCAAACTCCTGGGCTCAAGCGATCCTCCTGCCTCAGCCTCCCAAGTAGCTGGGACTACAGGCATGCGCCACCATGCCCGGCTAATTTTTTCTATATATTTTTAGTTGGCCAATTAATTTCTTTCTATTTTTAGTAGAGATGGGGTCTCGCTCTTGCTGGGGCTGGTTTCGAACTTCTGACCTTGAGTGATCGCCTGCCTCGGCCTCCCAGTGAAAGCTAGTATATACTTATATAATTTCAGCTGCAAAGTGGATGAAATATTAATAGATTTCGATGTCACGCACACCCAGAACTGATGGCTTGTCCCTGCACTTTCCCCCAGCCCCAGCTTCATGCAGACGCTGATCCATCAGAGCTGTAGCTTGAGAGTCTGCCACCCCCGAAACAGGCTTCTGTGGGCTGGCCTGGGCTTATCAGCAGTAGAGGAATGGTTAAGAAAATGGGTTTTGGAGTTCCACAGATGTGTGTCCAAATCACCCCCTTTCCAGCTGTGTGATCTTGGGCAAGTTTCTGAACCATCCTGAGCTATAAAGTGTTTGAATAAAACTTTCTGGAAAGGACTGGTGTGGGGGCTGCGAGATACGATATTTATCAAGTACTTGCACAGCATCTGACCCATAATAAACTCAGAAACATGTGTGTCATCCTTCCTGAGATGACTCTGCCTCAACAAACAAGGTGGGAGTCCTCCTGCAGGGCAAGTCCCAAGGAGATGATGAGGGAGACCCGAGAAAGCTTTCGGGAGGTGCATGTCCAGGGATGGTCTGTCTCCAGCACCCGGAACTCCAGAGGACTGGGGAGACGAGGCAGACAGCCAGGTCAGGGCAAAGCGGCAGAAGGCACTGACCACCAGAGTAGGGGGTGTTCTACTGATAGTCACAGTGGGAACTGGGTGGTCCAGTAGCTCTCTTTCTGGTAAGTGTACAAGTTGGCTTAGAGGAGGAGAGGCTGAAGACAGACTGCCAGGAGGGCAGCCTCCAAAAGCCCTACCCCATGGTCCTGGGCCTGCACACAGTCAGCCCTTGATAAGCATTCGTTTTCTGCCTGAGTAAATGAATGCATCATTATAAGCCAGGTAATACACACCAAGAACCCAGCTTGGTGCCACACAGTGATTTTCAGGGCCAGCACTAAGAGAAAACAGATAAGGCAACTAACAAAATTGGTCAACAGCTTCGTAAAATGTTCTTCAGGAAACAATCCCAAGCTTTTAGCTACTACACCATTTTGATATTTAATGAGCTGATGATGAAAAATACTTGTTTGTTGCCTCTTACTTAAAAACTATAAATGCCAAAGCTGTAGCCTCAGGGTGCCACATTCTTAGTTAATTAACCACCCCCATTTGCTGCACTAACGGTAGCTTTTAATTTGTTCCAAGCGGCTAGAAGCAAGCTCCAGGGGCCTGGAGCTCCGCTATGAAATTCCTTTGGTTGGCGCTCTGTGGTCAGCAGGGACCAGCAGGGACCGAAGCAGCAAATGGGAACATAATGGGGAAAACATCTTTTACTCAGGAAGGGAGGAGAGGATAACCCTTAAGTGCTCTAAAGGAATAAAATTCAAAAAGCAAAAACCCACCATGCTCCAGCCATATGGCAAAAGCAGCAAAGGCCTGACGCAAAGATGGCGAGGAGCGGAACCCACATGCAGCTGCCAGGAGCAGCCGCCAGGGTGACCAGACAGCCAATTTCCTGAGGGCTCTTGGGGATTCTAAGCCTTGTGAAGACACCAACTTCCCAGAGCAATATTTCCAACTTACCTCTAAGACAGCTGAACTGCCATTTTGAAAAAATGCATTTTGAAAAGAACTGTGCTAAATATAGAAGGCCAAATGGTGAGGCCTACACACGACTGCTTTCAAATCAATTAAGGAACTTCCAGAAAGCCAGTAATGTTTTAGTAAACAGAGTTTGGGTGAAAGTTTAAATAAAAACATCCATCAGAAAGAACTGAGAGGATGGGTTTTTAAAAGGTACACCTAGTAACTGCCTAAAACCAAGGCCAAGTTATATTTTCTACTTATCCATAACATTTTCTCCATCTTGAGTTTCCAGTGTGTTAATAAGATAAAAAGATATTATAGGCCGGGCGCGGTGGCTCACGCCTGTAATCCTAGCACTCTGGGAGGCTGAGGCGGGCGGATTGCTCAAGGTGAGGAGTTCGAAACCAGCCTGAGCAAGGGCAAGACCCCGTCTCTACCATAAATAGAAAGAAATTAATTGGCCAACTAATATATATAGAAAAAATTAGCCGGGCATGGTGGCGCATGCCTGTAGTCCCAGCTACTTGGGAGGCTGAGGCAGGAGGATCATTTGAGCCCAGGAGTTTGAGGTTGCTGTGAGCTAGGCTGACGCCACGGCACTCACTCTAGCCTGGGCAACAAAGTGAGACTCTGTCTCAAAAAAAAAAAAAAAAAGATATTATAGCAGACAGCTCTGTGAGGCTTAAAGTGTACAATAGGACTAACACCTTTGCCAATGACCAATGGACGTGGGAAGGGAGGAGGCAGAAGCTGCAGCCCTTGACTGCACCAGTTCAGGTGATTCCATGAGCAAAGACAGACCTCACTTACTTCAGTTCAAACCTTTGGGAAAAAAAAAGTCAGCAAAGGCAGAGAAGCCCGAGATGATGTAAGCTGAGGAGAATGCTGGCTTACCCAAAACATAAGGAAAATAAATCACAGAGCCAGCCTGGGCCTGGACCTATTCAAGATATTCCCTCCACATTCCCAGGAGCTATTCTCGTTGTCTCATTCTCATTCTCTCTCTCTCTCTTTCTCTCCTCTCCAACCAACTTCAGAAATGAAGGATGCCTTGGAAAGGTGAGGCGTTGGATGTGCAGCAAGGAACACAAGCTTAGGGGTGGAGTGCTGCTGGGTTCCCACCAGCAATTTCCACATCGGCCCAGAAAGACCCAGTGATCTTAAGCTACTTAAAGAGATTTGCTCTGGGAGGTAGGAAATCACTACTCCAGAGCATGGCCTGTGCACCAGACCAAAGCCATAATAATGATTCATCTCTGACATGTTGCTAATCAGCACACACATGTTCCTAATTTCATGCTCCCCAAAGGAAAGCTGAAGGGACAATTGTTTCTGAGGTCTAATGTGGAGCCCACCTATGCCAAGTTACCATGTGTCCTGCTTATCAAACTGAAAGCTTCAGTGTTCATCCAAGTTTCTTTTCACTAGCCCACCCCTCCACCTACCCCCCAAGCCATTCATTAAAGATAAAGATGTGTTAGGACATTTACATGAGTTGTTTTTCAGACAGCAACTTCTCTAAATGACAGTGGCCTACACGGAATGTCAAATGTTTTAAAATCTCCTTCCCCACTACTGACTTTGTGATTTTCTTATTGTTTTGCTGCTGGAACATACTTGTGCAGTTAAAGCCCAGAGACAGCAACACACACACCCCTATATACACAAAAGCTGACTTTCTTCCTGTGTCTAAAAACGAAACAAAGTTCCGCAGCCTCCTTCTGTTTTCGCAAAGCAAAACCCCTGGTACTTTTTGCAATTGCTCCGTGAAGGATCCAGGCTGCATGTTCTCCCTCGGCTGATACTCGCAAATAGACAGGATTGCTCCACTTTCCCGATTCTGAAAACGTCAAAGGCAGGCTACAAACACGCCAGACGGAGAGGCAGGCTTTCCCTCCTCCCCCACGCCTCCCCGAGCCAGAACCCAAGTCAGGAGCGCAGACCTCTAAGGTAACAGTCAGCCCTCTGTAGCCTGGAAGGCACGCACAGACAACTGCGATGCAGATTAACAGGCTTTGTGTAAATACTGGGCACAAAGGGGAGCTAACAACCACCCACCCAAATACCCACCCAGCACATCGCTATGAAAGGAACCGTTACAAAGACTTCGCTCCAGAAGCCTAAGAAAGTCTCTTCCTAACGATGGCAAAATAGTGATTAGACAATAGAGGAAAACTTAAAGCTATAAACGGGATTGTTATGCCTAAACTGGAGGAAATGTTCAGATTAAAACACAACTACTAATAAAAAGCCTTAGGACCACACAGAGAGCCATGCACGGAATTGTGCCCACTTTAACTACCACCGTTTCCGAGGCCCCAGGACAGAGTCTCCAAACACTGTGTCACATCTGGAATTCTGCTTTTACAGCACAAATGCCTGCAGAAATGGGGGTTGTGATGTTGCCCTGAGGACTCACGTTCCTCCACCCCACAGGGCCCCCCCCCCAAGCCCCACACCCATCTTTCCCTCAAGGTGGATTTCGCATATTTGGAAATTAGCTCTTTGAAGTTTCAATGCTAATGGAAACATTACAGGATATGCCAGAAAACAAGGCGACTCTTCAGTCAGCCAGCTACCTCTGTCCACATGGTGGTCTTGGACAGAAAACCTCCTTAACATAAGAGTGGGAAGCAGCAAGTCAGCATTCCACCCTTTTTCAAAATTTGCAGCTTTGCCCCTTTCTCTAGGAAGGAGACAAGCTTCAAGTATCCTTTTTAAACTCTCCTGTTCTCTAGCTAAAAAAATCCAAGTGAGTCAACCTATGCTCAAAGTTGCCTGGCCGAGTGCGGGGGCTCACGCCTGTAATCCTAGCTCTCTGGGAGGCCCAGGCAGCCAGATTGCTCGAGGTCAGGAGTTCGAAACCAGCCTGAGCAAGAGCGAGACCCCATCTCTACTATAAATAGAAATAAATTAATTGGCCAACTAATATATATACAAAAAAATTAGCCAGGCATGGTGGCACATGCCTGTAGTCCCAGCTACTCAGGAGGCTGAGGCAGCAGGATCGCTTGAGCCCTGTAGTGTGAGGTTGCTGTGAGCTAGGCTGATGCCATGGCACTCACTCTAGCCTGGGCAACAAAGCGAGACTCTGTGTCAGAAAAAAAAAAAAAAGGAAGAAAGTTGCCTGCCATTGGTGGCCCACAGGAACACTCCAGGCTCAGCCTCATTCTTGCAGGAACTGAACTTTCTAATCCCACCACTGCAGAGCTACTGG